ATGCGTTGGGTCACTCTTTCTGTCCTGCTACAACCCTTCTAACACCCAACTGAGTCCTTTTGACCCTCAACAGATATGGGACTCAAAGCCTTGGACTCGTCGAGTCCCAAGAACGGACTCGCCGAGTCGATAACATCCACACCCTAAATCCTTGGTTTCTGATGTACAACACTTGACCAAATGATAGATCCAAGCCCCTAAGCTCGATCTAGCACGTAAAGTTACGAACTTTACGTGCATGCATGGGACTTTTGAGCCAAAAAGGCTCTAAAATGGCTCTAGTGTTGCATGGGGCCTTCCTTGGGTGCAAAAGCAACCCAAATATGCCTTGTGACCCCTTTAAAGACCTGATTCCAAAGCCTCAACCCCCAACCATGTTTGCAATCATGGTTGGTTACCAAAAATGGCTTATAAAAGCCCTAAATCTCCCCAAAAAGGGATTTATCAAATGAAAGAGCAAGGTACATACTTTATACCTCTCAAAGACTGCAAATGATGAACCAAACTCGAATCCTTCAGTTCCCTCTTGATCCTTCTATGCTCTTCCTTCTTCCTTGTGAACAAAACCACCAAAATCACTCAAAAGCCTTAGATCTTGCACCAAAACACTTAGGGTTTGCTATGGAGGGTTTCTGGGAACATAAAGAGGCGATGGAGGCTGCATAAGGTTGTTTAAATAGGGTGCAAACCCTCAGATTAGGGTTTTATCCAGTCAGAGCCTACTCGTCGAGTTCGGGACCCGACTCGACGAGTCCATCACTTAAATCCCACGCCTCATCCCGCTTCTACTCGGCGAGTTGGTCCTTCAACTCGCCGAGTCCAAGGCCAAAAATGTAAAATACTTAAATAAAAATACATACCAAGAACCAGGTGCTACAAGTTCGATGTATTTTAATTCAAACGTAATTAGATAGGGTTGTAGAGCTCCTCAATACCTTTCCGTGGATATAATGACCGTCAAAATCGGAGTTGAAACGAAGAAGTTATGACTGTTTGAAGTTAGGACGGTTTTGGGTTAAGCCACGCACGTTGGGCATACGGTGAAGTACGTTTGGGCGTACTAGGAGTATCATGGGCGTACGGGCTCAGTTCCCAAACCCTATTTTCGTAGTTTGAGTCATATTTAATCTCCTTAACTTCCCCAAACTCATTCCATTCTCAGCCTCCACCTCTCCAACACCATCCCATGAAAACCCTAACCCTAGTTTGAGCCTTTTGAGCAAAAGAAGATGATCTTGAGTGATTTGGAGTGTTCTTAGTGCATCTTGGAGAAGAAGTATCTCTTTGGAGAAGTGTTGGTTGCATTGGAGCTTGTAGATCTGGACTTTGTTCACCTAGATCTTTCTTCTAGAGGTATAAAGTTTGAATCTTGATGATGCATGTAACACCATATTCCGAATCGTTTCCTAATTCGGGGTCGTGACCCGAAGATCGGTTATCATAAGGCTTAGGGCCTTTGGGAAAGAGATAATTAGGCCCCTTTGGGTGTGGAAATGTAGGTTGGATGATCCAGGAGTTCGGTTTGTGTTTTGAGCCCAAGTGTATATCGGTAAAGTGACAGTTCATGCCTTTTATGGATTTTGGATTTAAGTTCATAAAGTTTTAAGGCAAGAGTGAGTTAATAATAGTGTAGGGCTTCTCATTACCTTTCCGTGGATATCAGGATCGTCGGAATCGGACTTAGAACGAAGAAGTTATGGCTTTCGAAAGTTTGGTGGCTTTAAGGCTAAGCCTAGTACGCTAGGCGTATATAGGAGTACGCTGGGCGTACATAGGAGTACGTTGGGCGTACTAGGCAGGTTGATCATGGAGCCCCTTTGGAGTATGTTGGGCGTACCAGGAGTACTTTGGGCGTACTCCAACCAGATGCAAACCCTAATTTAGGGTCTTGGACCCTATTTAATGGCCTTAACTCAACTCCAAACCCTTCTACCTTCAGCCTCCATCCCATTAAACCCTAAAAACAAAACCCTAACCGTAATTGGTATGATTCTTGAGATTTTTGTGTGATTTCATGCATTTTGGTGCTCAAAGAAGAAGAAGGAGCTTCTTGGAGAAGTGTAGGATTGCTTGAAGCTTGTGGATCCAAGCTCTAATCATCTTGATCTACCTTCTGAGGTATAAAGCTTCAAACTTTATGGTTCTCTAGTATAGATCTAGTTTTGGGTGATGTTTTTCCATGTTATGGTCCCAAGGTTGTGGTTCTTATGAGTAGAAGCTACTCCAGGACCTTTAAGCCTCATATTTGGTCCTTGTTGAGTTGTTAAGTCATAAAAATGTCATCTTGAGGGTTTTTGTTGATGCATGCATGAGTTAGTGGTCTTAGTATGGATAAAACAAGGATTGGGTCCCATTAAGTCATGCAAAAGAGTAAAGTTGCGAACTTTACGTGTTAAGACACCCCTTAAGGTTTATATTTGTGTTTGGATGCATTTGTCTTAACCATTAAGAGCTTATTATGGATTTTGGGCCTCTGATGAGTACATTGGGTGTATGTAGGAGTACGCTCAGCGTAATGTTGGTTTCATGCATAGACAACTTGTAACTTGTGCTTTAAGGGTGAGTATGTGGGGCATACACTTCTGGTACACGGGGCATACTCCTCGGGAGTTTAATTTGGGCCTTTTGGGCCTTTGGCCTTTTGGGGGTTGGGCCATGAGAGGTTGGACTAGTTATGGGAAGGGTAAAATGGTCTTTTACCCTTTAGGAAGTCGGATTATGGATTGGGCCTTGGATTTTGGGTTATTGGGTTGATTATTAATTAAGGTTGTATTTATTGTTAGTTGGTGCGAGATTATTCGGTTCAACGACCCGAGCAGTTATTGGTTATCAGTGGATTGAGGTGAGTTTCCTTACTGTACCCGTGGGTTGAAGCCTCGAAGGCACCAATGCCGGCCCACTAGGATATGTTATGCTATTTGTCTTTGTGACTTTTGCATGGTATGTTGTATTAGGCCCATTGGTATGTTGGGCTAGGCCCATTAGTATGTTAGGCTAGGCTTATGGATCAGGAAGGGCTAGGCCCATTGTATGTTATGTAGGGTGCTAACTGTCTCTGTGACTTTTGCATTTGTATGATCGGGCTAGGCCCATTATGGTAGGATGGGCCCAATATGCGGGTCGGGCCCTATGTGCGGGCTAGGACCAATGGTATGTATGATATGTGGTAGTTTGGGAAGGTCACTAAACTTTGTGCTTATGGTTTTATGGTTATGGTTTCAGGTACTTCCGGTTCGAAAGGGAAGGAGCTGACTTGATCGCAACGCATCCACCCATGTTTCCGCAATATGATGATTTTGGGATTTTACTCTAATAACTATTTTATTATGAAATACTTTGAATGTTTGAATAAAAGATAATTGGTGTTTTGATTGAATTAAAAATGAAATTTTTACCTCTTGTTTTTTGGGATGTTACAATGCATTTGATAGATCTAGTTAGTCTTGGGTGTTATGAGCTTTTGGTCATTTTAATGCATAAAGTTTAGATCTTGAAAGTCTGTGACCTTGTTATGGATAAAGTTGGAAACTTTATCCATCTAAACATCATATTGATTCAGATCTAAAGGTTGGAGACTTGGACTTAATGGATTAAGTTGAAAGAGATGCTCTTTTGGTCCCTTTGATACTTAAAAACTAGATCTTGGTGGTTTGGATCATTCTAATGGATAAAGTTGGAAACTTTATCCATTATGGAGCTATTTAGATGCATAAAATTGTGATCTTGGTCCTTGTATTCCTTCCATGCAAGTGTCATGATGTCTTAATGGATTAATAAGTTAAGGTTTTGGCTTTTGGACCTTTTCTAGACATGGAAAGTCATAAAGGTGGAAACTTTATGACTTAGAATGATGTTGTGGGACTACTGGATATGAGTGTTGGATGAAAGGACTTAAGAGAATAAGCACTTAATGGAAAAGTGCCATATGACACGGTACGCTAGGCGTACCTTTGCGTACGCTACGCGTACTCATATGGGGTCCCGATTCTAGATGGTGAATATGCCATGCGTACGAGCTAAGTACGCTGGGTGTACTCAACCTGAAGTTTGACTTTTGTTGACCGTTGACTTTTGACCAAGTTTGATTGTGGGTCAAACTTGAGGATTTTGGGCTATTAATTAAGATTCTATCTGCTTATGGTGTTAATGGATTTGTGGGTACAAGCAGTGCAAAAAAGGGATCGTATCGTAGTGTTTCAGAGTTCTTTGTTTCAGGTGAGTCTTCTCACTGTGCTCGTGGATCGAAGGCACCAATGCCAACCCACTAAATTGTGTATGTAGGATGATTGTTGTCCTTGTGACTCTTGTATGCTTGCCTGTGTGGTAGTATATACGTGCTGACCAGCTGGATCTTATTGCTGTTACTGTGATATGTGATACTGTATGTGCTGAGACTTCGAGTAGTCTCCAGGGTTACTGATAACCCACTGGGCGTGCTATTTGCCTACTAAGACTTCGGGTAGTCTCCAGGGTTGATGATAACCCATAACTGTTTATTTGTGTTGTGTTGTGTGTGGTATTTTGGGGAACCCACTAAGCTTTGTGCTTACGATCTACGGTTTAAATGTTTTCAGGTTTTCTTATATTAAAGAAGGGGCACGGCTCGATTGCATCGCATCCATTGGAGATTTCTGCACATGACAATATTTAACGATACTCTGATAAATGTTTGAATCAAATGGTGTTATATTGTTTTAAATTTAACAAATACTTTATGTTCAAATGAAAAAAAATGGGTTGAAATATGGGACATTAAATAATTAATGAGTCTAAGGGTTAGAGTGCAATTGTTCAAAAGTTGAACAAGGAAGCATTTTAAAACCTCCCCAATTCCATACGTGGTAGCTCTATCCAACGACCATGTAACTAAAAACATCTCACTGCTTAAGTCAATTCATAATCTCCGACAGTAGACCTGACTTCGGAAGCTTCACCAATAAATACGCTAGTGTGTACCTCAACTCATAACCTCTCAGTTGATCACATAAACTGAGACCCATATGTTGTTTCCCTTCCTCGCAAATCCATCATATAACACTTATGGATTTCTCACCACAATCGCTACACATCTGATTCAAGGGTATCAAGCTTCGTAATGCTTTTTCCTTTTTTGAACCAATCAGGAAAAGAAGTAAGGCTATAATGATGATGCTGACAGTGGTAAACACCACAACAATTACAATCGACAACTCCAACCAAAACAATATCGACGTCATAAAATGATACGATACCTGCTTAACTCGTTAAACCACCGACACACTTAAGCAAGAAGTTAGGAACATGACAGTTAGGATCGTTGACGAACTATAGCTCTACATATTCTTTTTCTACTTTGAGGGAAATATGCAGTCGATCATTTGAGTCTTTGATCGCACCACAACCACAAAAGAGAGCTTGACCTCTCATTCTTCTGTTTTGGGTTCTAATCAAAAGGCGAGCACATCGACAACATCACTCATCTGCCCTCATATATACTTGTTTCTTTTGTTTACTAAATTGAATATTTGAAGACAAGGATAGATCCAACACATGTGTATAAAAAAGAAAAAAAGAAGGGAAAATGAGTATTGCATAACATATGTTCGATGAAATGTTTGAAAGAAAAATCTCATCTAAATCATACCCTCTGACCACACCTTGGACTTGAATTCATACATGTAAATACCAAGAAAATCAAGAAATCGAGTACATCAGGACCAACCACCTGGCAGGGGAGGTCTATGTCTCATTTTCGTTTAAGTTTGCCAACCATATCGTTATATATTTCTTTTATTTGATCCCACTTCCACAATTTTGTGTTTTCACTACGTTTCTTATTTGCTTGAATCGGATGGTTAATAAAAGGATGCACCTAACATATGCTCAAGCAAAATGAGAGAGAGAGAGGTTAATAAAAGGATGCACCTAACATATGCTCAAGCAAAATGTGTGTGTGTGTGAGAGAGACCATTTCTATTAAATATTTATAAAAAATATTAAAAAATCCATAAAGACAAAGAAAAAAGGTATAATAGGTCTTTTTCTGTTTTGGAGAGAGCAAGCAAACATGTCCAAAAAACCACTAACTCATAAAAATTGAAGTTTGGATAAAAAAAATACATAGACCATTTTTAGAGCTTTGTCTTTTAAATAAAGAGGGTGTTTGGATTAACTTATTAGGTTATTGCTTATTAGTTTATTTGTAGTGGGAATAAACAATAAACAATAAACAAGGGTAGATGCTTATTAAAATTAATTTATTTAGTTTATTCCTAACACAAGAAGTTGATTTTTAAGAATTTTAACCACTCAAACTTTTAAGTTTTAACATTTGATTATTAGATTTTCATCTATTTGCAACGCAACGCCCACACTCTTCTCCCCCTTCTCTCAGCCGATCCCTCTTCTTCCGTTTCATTGTCGCTTCCGGTTTATCGCCGCCGACCTTCAAAGCGAGGCAGTTGCTGCACGCTGTTCAGTTTCCTTTGCACATCCAAAGCTTTTCTCCCGTTGCCTTGCTGCTGGATCGACGACTCACTATTCGTCCTCTCTGTTCATCTCTCTTCCTTGGATCTTCAGCCGACGCCGTGGCAATCGTGTAGCAACCCGAGTCACTTTATATCTCCGGCGCTCATCAATCTCTGTTATTGTGCCATACTTCTGTGTGTACATTATTGTACTTATCAGGTTCAGTTTCTATCCCTCCGTAACATACTTTGTTCGTATGTTTTGAATATTTTTCTTGTTGCTGTTATGGTAGTTTCTATGGGAAAGTTGTTCGTAATCATGTTCCTCCTGAGGCTCTATCATTAGTGGTTGTGGTGACCCTTTGTATTGTGAAGAATGAAAATTAGGTTTTGAATTGCAGTTTTTGAAACCTTTTTCTGTAAGAAATCTACTATTGATTAAGTTCTTTCCATAATGAACTTAATGCCGCTTCTAAGCTTTTGAGAGCAGCTTTTGCAATTCCATGTCAAGCTCCTTCCATGGTTATATTTGATCCCCCTTTAAAAGTCTAAGTTATGTGATACAAAGTATTTTAATAGGCCTTTAATGGAGCTTTTGCTACAATGTGTTATGGGTTATGACTTAAGAGTATGATCACACAATACGAGCAAAAATGGGTAGTTTTCATTGTATCCGCAAATTTGCAAGATGTAATTGCATACAAAGCCTTACACTCTTGATACTCTGATGACAACAGGTTTGAGGCTTGGTTCTTATACCTCCATTTGCAATCTAAGAAAATAAGTTAAAGGAGGGGAATGTCGGTGTTGATTGTGACAAGTTTGGGGGACATCGTTGTTGATTTGCATACAGATCGTTGTCCTCTGACATGCAAGAATTTTTTGAAACTCTGCAAGTAAGCTCTTATTTTCATTTTAACTTCAAATTTGTTATTATTCTTGTGTTTTCTTTGATGAATAAACAGATTACTCTGGTCAACTTCTTTCATTATGCCTGGTGTTACAATGAAAGCTAAATTATCATAGTATATTTGTTCAGCTATGTTAATTGTAACATGAGTACAGATGAATATGCATTTTAATTTTGTTATAATGGATGATGGCAGGATTAAATATTACAATGGGTGTCTATTTCACACAGTTCAGAAGGATTTTACTGCACAGACAGGTGATCCTACTGGAACAGGTTCTGGTGGTGATTCTATCTACAAGTAAGAGAAAGGAATTTTATTTACCTTTTTTTTTTGAAATTTATTGACAGATTTTTTTTTTTTAAAGATTTTTGTATGGGGATCAAGCTCGTTTTTTTAGTGATGAGATTCATTTGGATCTGAAGCATTCCAAGATGGGTACAGTTGCCATGGCTAGTGCAGGAGAAAATCTTAATGCTTCTCAGGTATTTTCAACATTGTTTTTTCTACTTTTGATTTGGTGGAATAAAAACAACAATGTATAATGTATTTATCTCTCTATTTACCAATTGATCTTGTGAAAAAACATTAGTTTTTGACAACAAATATATTATGTTTCATTCAAATTCTATCTTTTTCTTATAGGAACCTGGTTATGTCTCTTATATTTTTTTTGTTTTTGTTTTTGTTTTTCCAGTTTTACATGACACTGCGTGATGATCTTGACTACCTTGATGGGAAGCACACTGTGAGTATTGTGGTTTATGATATGCCTTTTTGGTTGTCTTTTTAATTTTTTTGAATGAAAAATTTATTGTGTTTGTCAAAGTTACATTGAGTGAGTCAGTTTCTTTGTTTTGGCATTGGAGTTATAAGTCAAATATTCAATTTGATATGATATAAATATAATATAATAGTCTCTTATGTTTGTATACATTGTAGGTCTTTGGAGAGATTGCTGAAGGGCTTGAAACACTGAGCAGAATAAATGAGGCTTATGTAGATGAAAAGAGCAGACCTTATAAAAACATTCGGTTCATATTTTCACATTTAATACCCTCATAAATTTGCTAGTTGTGACACTAACATGCAAAATGAATGTTTTGGCTGCAGCATCAAACATACATATATACTAGATGATCCTTTTGAGGACCCTCCACAGCTAGCTGAGTTAGTTCCAGATGCTTCCCCTGAAGGAAAGCCAAAAGATGAGGTATTAAACTATTAATTAATTAATGGGTAGAAAGGGTTTGATTGCTTTTTTATAAAATTGTATTTGTAACAAACAAATAGGTTGATGATGAAGTGAGGCTTGAAGATGATTGGGTGCCCATGGATGAACAATTAGGTGCAGGAGAACTTGAGGAGGTTATTCGTGCCAAAGAAGCACATTCTAGAGCAGTTGTGCTTGAAAGTGTATGCATTCATAACTTCAATGATGATTATTGTTAATATTATAGTTTTGGTAATTTGTATTTTTAAAAGATTTTGGATTCCAGATAGGGGACATTCCTGATGCTGAGATAAAGCCTCCTGATAATGTGCTCTTTGTATGCAAACTAAATCCAGTGACTGAAGTAAGTTATATTAGTATATCTCTTTCTGTTGATTTTTTTTTCTTTCTAATTATTATATATTATTTTTGTTTCTTATATACCCCCCATGCTTTTTAGGATGAGGATCTGCATACAATCTTTTCAAGATTTGGAAGTGTGAGCTCGTAAGTGATTGCATTTCTTGTTTTATAGTTTTGGTGTTGGAATTATAAAATTATAAATTATAATTTATTATGAAATTTGGCAGAGCTGAAATAATCCGTGACTTCAAAACTGGAGACAGCTTGTGCTATGCCTTTATTGGTGAGTATTTATATTTATTCTTCAATTTTATAAACTCTCATTGGGTATTGAAGCCTATAATTTTAAGTAAAATATATTTGTTTAGAATTCTATTTGGGATTTCATGGTAGTATATTCAAATAAAAATTTTTAATGTAAGTAAACAAAGATTTGTTTGATATTTGATAAATATAATAAAATATATCTAAGATGAATATGATGCCATTGCAAAAGGTTTATTGTAGGATAACATTGTTGTTTTATTCATTAAATCCAATCATGTGCTACAAACAAACTGCTTGAATGACTTATTTCATTCCTTAAAACAAACGAAACATGATAATGGAATGTAATAACCAATTCCCTTATGTTCCTCCATGTTTATTATTCTCACCATTGATGTTCAAAAATCATGTGTACTTGTATGATACTTTATCTCTTATTATTACTGTTGTTATGTCTCTGTGTGTGTGAGTGATATGATAATATAATATAAATATGGTGATCTTGTCATTTATATTCCAGAGTTTGATGATAAAGAAGCTTGCGAACAAGCATACTTCAAGGTACACATTACATGTTTTTTTTTTTTTAAAATTTACAAATCTTGTTGTTGTGAAAATAGATAGATTTCTAAAAAAAAGTGTTTGATGGCAGATGGATAATGCCTTGATAGATGATCGGAGGATACATGTGGATTTCAGTCAAAGTGTTTCAAAGTTATGGAACCAATACAGGCGTAAAGGCAGCAATCAAGCTGGAAATGGTAAAAATTAATTATAAAGATGGTTGGTTATAAGTTTGTTAGATTTTCAGTTGTTTGTATGTTTTTGTAGGAGGTAATAAAGGTTGCTTTAAATGTGGGTCTCTTGATCACATTGCAAAAGACTGTTCTGGGAACCCTGAACCTCCAAAATACATCTTGAAGGACGATGGTTTCAACAGAAGAGGTGCCAATGATGGCTCCAGGTTGGTTGGTTGGATCCATATCCATATGAACAACAAACGCTAAGATGGATTTTATTTTGTAGGTATGACATGGTGTTTGATGAGGACACACATGCAAGTCCAAAAAGAAAGAAACATGTTGAGGTGGATGAAGAGAAACGAAAAGTGGGCCATGGCCATGGGGTTATGGATGAAAGAAAACAAAAGGATTATTACAGACATGATAAAGAGTTGGGGGATAGAAGAAAAGATGATAATAGGCGACACAATACAAAAGATTACTACTACAAGAAGAGAGATGAGGTGGATTATCATAGACCAAGTAGGAATGATGATAGAGATAGAGATAGAGATAGACACAGAGGAGGTCGTAGTGATGATGATATTGATAGGAGGAGGGGGCGAGATAGGAAAAAAGTCAGTGATGAAGATGATGGTGAAAGAGATAGAGATTATAGAAGGCGAGGTGATGACTCATATGGTAGTAGGAAGAAGAGATACAGTGAAGAAGATTCATATGATAAGAAAAAAGTTGGACATAATAAGAGGAGTAAGGAGGAAGAGCGAGGTCGAGGTCGATATGACAATAGGGATCATAGCAGACGGGATTAATTTTGATAACATTGATTGTATGTGCACATCACCTGACTTAACTCTCTTTATGTTAGATCTAAAAGTTTTGTTGGTTGGTTTTATTTTTGAATATTTCTTCATCATTGTTAATGGCTATCTTTCTCCTTTGATGATTTCAGGACTGACTTCATTTAGGAAAATCAATTCAAGCATCAATGTTGATAGTATTTGGTTTAAAAAAAGGCCGAGTATCCGCGCATAAAGCGCTAGGCGTGCTTCAAACCCTATAATGCGATGAGATGCTATTCCTTAACTAGACAATACTTGCTGTTTTTTTAGCTCTTTTCATGAAGCAGCTTAACGCTTAGTGAAATCGACCCTCAGTTTACGAAAATCGACCCTCAATTTCTGAAATTGTCCCTCAAATTTTAAAATTCACCTTTAATTTTTTGAAATTGAACGCCTCAATTTATGAAATACAGCCCTCAATTTCTGAAATCTGAACCTAAAGTTTTGAATTCAACCGCATCAATTTCTGAAATATGGACCCTAAGTTTTGAAATCAACCCTCAATTGACCCTTAATGTATGCAATAGACCCTCAATTTCTCAATGCTGATATGTCTGTCACCCTATTACTAATTTTCTGTATCTACCTTCAAATTTTGTATTGTATAGACCAACCTCCTGTTGATACTCACTTGAACTAGCTTAACCAACAGAATGACCAAGCTACCCTAGAAAGTGTACACTTTTAGGATTTTTTTTCACCGACTTTTTGAATTCTATATTTTTCAACTCCTATAAGTATGTAAGGAATGTATGATTTGCAATTTATAAGTATGTATGTATATTATGTATCGATATGTATGTAATATATTTATTAGGGAAATCTCCAATAAAGTTTCAAAATTTTGGCCCAATTTACCTTTTAATCATAAATTATTTTTTTAACGAAAGTCCTAAAAACTGGCAAAGTTTGCATTTTAACCCTTTTTGACTGGTTGAAACCAGTAATAAATTAATTTGGGACTATTTCGTAAACCGACCCAAAATATTAAAATTTTTATGCAAAAAAATATTACGACTTTTCTGCAAACAAAATCTTTATTATTATTATTATTACCATTTTATTAAAAATATAAATAAGTATACTATTTTTTAAATTTGTTATTATTAATATTGTTAATAATACATATAAATACGTTTAAATGAAATAATAATAATAATAACATTTTTAAGGGTGAAGGTGGAGGGGATGATGATGCTTCAAGTACTGAAATCATTAATGTCTGTTTGTATATTTTCACTTTGTATATGGTCATTTTATATTTGTTATTATTGTTTTCAATTTATAATATTAACACTTAACAATTTAAAAGACGTTGCCTATTTTTAAAATTGCTTATAAATAGTAATTTTGCGTAATCATTAAATTCTCAGTTTTTTGCTTATTATTCTCAACTTGTAAGCGGACATTTCTTTTATATATATATATATATATATATATATATATATATATATATATATATATTATATATATATATTATTGAATCGAGTTTAGATCATGATTATGATTGGGTCTGTTACCACATGTATTAGTGTGTGAGCGTGTGCTATGTGTGTATGTCTTGTGTGTAAGTATTTGAATTACCAACATGTGTGTTGCCATTTTTCATTACTTTATTCCTATGCATTTTTGGAAACATAACATATGTAGTGTGATAAAGCAAAACATGTCATATTACTTATTATCAAACAAGATATTGTAATTAATACTTTTGAATTTTGATATAGGCTACCTAAGTGGATGTTTGTAGTTGATCTGTTGGATTTGAAAAGAAATCCTTCTACCTTAATCAATTTTATATACAAAGTAAGAAACTCTTCTACCTTAAATTATTTATAAGCAATTTTATAAATAGACAACTTCTTTTAAATTGTTAAGTGTTAGTAATCTAAACTAAAAACAATAATAACAAATATGAAACGACCATATACAAAGTAAGAATATACAAGCAAACATTTATGATTTCAATACTTAAAGCATCACCATTCCCTCCACCTTCATCCTTAAAAAATGTCTTTATTATTCTTTTTTTATTTATTTAAACATATTTATATATATTATTTACAATATTAATAATAACGAATTTAAAAAATAATATACTTATTTATATTTTTAATAATAATAATAATAATAATAATGATAATAATAATAATTATTATTATTATTAAGGTTTTTGTTTGCAAAAAATTCATAATATTTTTGTTTGCAAAAAAGTCCAAATATTTTTGGTCAGTTTAAATAGTCCCAAATTAATTTGTGGTTCCAACCGGTTAAAAATTGTCAAAATGCAAACTTTTGCCGTTTTTAGGACTTTTTCGTAAAAAGATTTTAATTTAGGAGTAAAACGTAAACTGTGCCAAAATTTTAGGACTTTATTGTAGATTTTCCTATTTATAATATTTCTATATTTTATATTATTTTGAATTTATGAAACTTCATATGCTCTAAGTGAACGCTTTGGCTCCTAGAGCCTGTAGCGCTTTTGCGCCTTACGATTTTTAAAACTAATGTTAATACCAATTTTAGTGTTTTCTCAAGTTGCATTAAGGTCAGCAAACTATAAAATGGATAAAACAATGATACCCAGTGTTTTCAGATCTGTGTTAATTATACGAAACTATGTGTTAGTGGCCATGCTTCTTTGGTAATCTGCTGAAAAAAAATGAGCATCTGTCACACCCCCAAACCAGAACGGCGGAAACGTTCGGGGGTGGTTGACGTCATATGTAGTATCACAACAATTGTATCATAGCAAGCATACTAAACACAACCAAACATTGAATACATATGTGAAAAAGGTTTACATTTGTCTTAATACATAATTTCGTTCATATCAAAAGTATAAAAACAAGACTATTATTGCTCCGGCTTCTCTAAATCCAAAGAGTACCTGTCTACAGATTTCCTGAGAATACAAGCAGTTTGAAAGAATATCAGCATAAAGCTGGTGAATTCATAAGCAATTAGTTTTGGTGGAAAATGTTCTTTGATTCTTTTGAAGAGTGTTTCTCAAGAAAATCCTATATTTTCTTATAAAAAGCATGTTTGAAAACCCATTCCTTCCATGACTTCCAGATTCGTACCAAGATATGTACAATCCAAGGTGTCGTGGAATGAATATGAATATCCGTTGATTACATGATAAACAAATCCGTTTTGAATAGTCGGTTTATCCCGGGGAAAATCCTATATTTTCCCTAAAGGTTGATGGTTGATTATTCGTTTTAAACTGAGGGTATGCAAGTATCTACCATACTCGTATTAATAAAAGCAGTTTTCTTTTAAAAACCCTGGTTACACCCAGAGAGGTACATTAGCTTTAAAACTAAATAAAATAAAACCGTGATGAACTAAGTCCTGAAGATATTGTTATTAATACCCTCCAGTAATTAAATCGGTTATTACTTTGAGGTTAGTTCACTTGATTCATTATTAAAAAAGTAAATCTATGTTATCTACATTGTGAGTTTTATAACCATAACTGACTGGATATGGCCCGCAACGGCCGATATCCTTAATGACTTTGTCACCCGTAGACCTGCCGGTCCGACTGTAGCTAGCAGCAAGGTGCGGGATTGTCAGTCCCGTATAGATCTATACACAACAGTCACGCTCTCCCTACAAGAGACTCTGGTCACAAGTGCTAGTCCTACACTCTGATTATGTGGGAGTGTTACCAAGGACGTATCTCCAACTTAGACTAACAAATTTACAAGTAATAATATAAACAAAAATCCTTTTATGATTAACATGAATTCTTTATAAAATGATACATTTTACGATATGATTCATAAGTTCATTGCTCTAGTTTTGAAAACTGTTTTTGCGAGTTGATTTCTTAATCGTTTAGCAAAACTGCTTTCCGTGTTTAAAAACATACTGAAAATATAATTATCTTATACAAAATAATATACTTTGAGCACAAGTTTCCTTGTACTTTTGCTTGTATTCCCCCCTGAAAACATGAAAAACTCGGAAAAAGAGTAGGGGTATGAACTCACCTGTAGTGAGTGGTTCTGACGTGTGGTTGGAAGGGGAGTGCAGAGTGTCAGGTGTAACCTTGAGCACACCACGATCCTAATAGACACATATAGACATGTATGTGTATGAATTTAGCGTATAGACGACTAAATAAGAAGGGTAACACCCTTAATGGCTAGGAAACTCTAAGATTTATGGGATATAACCACATATGATTGCATAACTAGGGTATATGGCCACCCTATAGAGTTTACGGTCAAAGAGGTATGACCATTGGAGTTCACGGTCCAAGTGTTCACGGTCTTAGTGTTTACGGTTTTAGTGTTTACGGTCCAATGACCTTACGGTCATGGAGTTCACGGTCTAATGACCTTACGGTCATAAGGTTTACGGTCCATGGGTTTACGGTTCCATGGGTTTACGGTTCCATGAATATACGGTCATTTAAGGGTGTACGGTCTAAGGAGATACACTAGACCGTAAACTCATCAAACTTGCACAAATTATGGTTTTCAAGGGCTTCATTCAAAGGCATCGGATTCTAGGGACCATGCTTAGCCTTAGGAAGGGTAAAGGCTATAAGAACACCCTTTATAAGGGTTTACGGTCTATGAAGATTCATAGGACCGTAAACTCTTTTGTTCAAGCAAAGAGTGATGATCTTAAGTCCAAAATGAAGGATTTTAACTCGATTCATGAAGGGGAAGATGATACTTACGGTTTTTGAAGGCAAAGAAGGTGTTTTCGGTCCAAAAAACCACCGTGTTCTTGAGGATTCTCGATGAAGGTAGAGAGGGAGTAGAGAGAGAAAGCCTTTGAAGTGTTTAAAGTGTGAAATGAAGGCCAAATGCTCTATATGTAGGGTAGAGTTATCGGTCACAAAGGGGAGTCCACCTGACCGTAAACGTGTTTACGGTCTACACGAGTTTACGGTCGTAAACTCATCCTGACCGTAAACTCGGTGATTTCCGAGGAAGTTTCAAGTTTTCGCATGATTCCCGGTTTATTCCGAATCGTATAAAATACATATTATTTATTTAAAACTTAAGGTCCTTCCCAAATTAAGAAATTTGACGGAATTAAATAAAAACCCAAATTTTATTAACGGAAACTGGGTAAGGATAACGGGAAAAGTTTCGGGTTGTCACAACATCCATAGATCTACCGCTTCACCATAGAGAGACAACAAAAGTTATTAGTTTTGCAAATAGTAGGTATTTTTGGAAAATATTATTAATTATTTTGTAACACCCGAAATCTAGAAGGACGATTAAGGAAAGAAAAATATTAAATTTGAAAGCCAACTCGTCGAGTCCATGGGGAAGAACTCGACGTGTTGGAAATCAATGCCGCGTGTTTTTGGAAGACCAACTCGACGAGTTGGAGGGGACCAACTCGACGAGTTGGATTGGGTTTAAGAAACCCTAAAATCGGGACTTTGTTCCCTATTTAAACAACTTAAGCTCTAGGGCTTGGCCTCATATCCAGCCTCGAAGTTCCAAACCCTAAATCTTGAAACCCTAAGCCATTTTTGGTGATTGTGAGCTAATCTTGTGCCTTCTTGGTGGGTTTGAAGAAGATGAAGCTTGAAGGAGAAGCAAGAACGTGTGGAAGGAGAGTAGATCCTGAAGTTGGACTTCATTTCTGATCCATCGGAGGTATAAAGCTTCAACCTTGTCCAT